GGCGAAATGGAGTGAAAAAGATTTGTGTGGTGTGCGTCCCAGACTTGTTGGTGCCAGTCTTCTCAAGTTTTTGGAAGGGTTTGTCTTTGTATCAGGCATGAATGCACTGAATGTCAAGCTTGCGAAGGCTCACTGGCATGAATGCTCTATTGAAGCAATGTCCTATTCCTACTTGACACCCTGAAACCTTGCTACCTACAGACCTTGTCAATCATAAAAGCATCTGCTAAGAGCACTATTTTGCAAAGTCGCCCTGTTGGCGAAGCAAGCACGTGCTTTGTAAGTCGCCCTGTTGGCGAAGCAAGCACTGCTTTGTAAGTCGCCCTGTTGTTGGCGAAGCAAAGAACTGTTTTGCAAGTCATCATGCGTGCTCGATCTCGCCCACTCATGGGTATAGGGCGTCCCTGCTCTTCTCAGTCTCAGTCTCCTCGAGGTTCTCCGACCGAGGGAGGAAGGGCGCTCCACTCTTCTCAGTCTCAATTGGGAGGCCGCGGGGGATGATGATGCCGCCCTTCTCAGTCTCCTCGAGGTTCTCCGACCGAGGGAGGAAGGGCGCTCCACTCTTCTCAGTCTCAATTGGGAGGCCGCGGGGGATGATGATGCCGCCCTTCTCCTCGAGGTTCTCCGACCGAGGGAGGAAGGGCGGCCGATGATGATGCCGCCCTTCTCAGTCTCCTCGAGGTTCTCCGACCGAGGGAGGAAGGGCGCTCCACTCTTCTCAGTCTCAATTGGGAGGCCGCGGGGGATGATGATGCCGCCCTTCTCAGTCTCCTCGAGGTTCTCCGACCGAGGGAGGAAAGGCGCTCCACTCTTCTCAGTCTCAATTGGGAGGCCGCGGGGGATGATGATGCCGCCCTTCTCCTCGAGGTTCTCCGACCGAGGGAGGAAGGGCGCTCCACTCTTCATTGGGAGGCCGCGGGGGATGATGATGCCGCCCTTCTCAGTCTCCTCGAGGTTCTCCGACCGAGGGAGGAAGGGCGCTCCACTCTTCTCAGTCTCAATTGGGAGGCCGCGGGGGATGATGATGCCGCCCTTCTCCTCGAGGTTCTCCGACCGAGGGAGGAAGGGCGCTCCACTCTTCTCAGTCTCAATTGGGAGGCCGCGGGGGATGATGATGCCGCCCTTCTCAGTCTCCTCGAGGTTCTCCGACCGAGGGAGGAAGGGCGCTCCACTCTTCTCAGTCTCAATTGGGAGGCCGCGGGGGATGATGATGCCGCCCTTCTCCGTCTCCTCGAGGTTCTCCGACCGAGGGAGGAAGGGCGCTCCACTCTTCTCAGTCTCAATTGGGAGGCCGCGGGGGATGATGATGCCGCCCTTCTCAGTCTCCTCGAGGTTCTCCGACCGAGGGAGGAAGGGCACTCCACTCTTCTCAGTCTCAATTGGGAGGCCGCGGGGGATGATGATGCCGCCCTTCTCAGCCTCCTCGAGGTTCTCCGACCGAGGGAGGAAGGGCACTCCACTCTTCTCAGTCTCAATTGGGAGGCCGCGGGGGATGATGATGCCGCCCTTCTCAGTCTCCTCGAGGTTCTCCGACCGAGGGAGGAAGGGCACTCCACTCTTCTCAGTCTCAATCGGGAGGCCGCGGCCGACGATGATGCCGCCCTTCTCAGTCTCCTTGCCGGAGTTCTCCTCTGCCATGACGTTGTTGCAGCTCACGCACAATGCAAGGATGAGGCAAGCGAATACACCAGATTTGAGCGCCATGGCAATGCCGACACCCCTGAGCTAAAAAGCGTCCCTGAGTGGCTTGAGGAAAAACTCGCAAAAACGCTACGGAAGAACATAAAGATGCTGAAGAATGACACAAAATTCCAAGCGCAAACTGAAAGAGCTAATTTCTGTAGCTTTCCAACTGAGAATGTCAAAGATGCTCAAATTGAAACACATTCCAAGGCCAAGCTCTCCAAGAATATGTGGCTTCAAACCTCCAACTGACATATTCCCAACAGCTGGGCGCCCCGACAGCAGGATGAAGAAGAGATTGATGACAAAGCCAAGGCGGGGCAGAAGGACAAAGGAACATAGAGTAATCCCAGCCAATGACCCAAACGTGCCAAACACAAATTCATGGGGAAAACAAATGAAGGGCAAGACACAAAACCCTGAAATCAAAACAGCACATCAAATCAACCATCTCATGGTTGCATCAAGTAGGCATAAGTATGGGAAAATATGCTTACAAGGCTTTCTAAAACACTAAATCTTTAAAAGTTCATGCCTCAGTTAATTTGTAATATTTTTGGTTCAACTTTTCTGCAACCTCTTGCACAACATAATAACCATTCAGCCAGTGGGAAGTTCTTTCTTTCTCTGTAATTGCTTTCTTTCTCATTATCTTTACTTTGTCTCCCACCTCTAATGTTGGGTATATTCTTTCTTTCTTTGCCTTTGATGCTACATTCAGCATTGCTCTGAATTCATTGTTATCTTTCCTTGCCTCTTTTGGTGTCATACCTGTAGCGGAATGCTTCATTTTATCATTGTATGTAAGCATTATTTCTAAATTGTAATCAACCCATTGTATGTTTGCCTTACCCTTTTTTCATCAGCCTCTACTCTTTTAAAAAGCATATCCTTGTAGGTGCGTATAAAACGCTCAGCAAAAGCGGGATGACCTCTTGTCCTATGTAAGGTTATACCTTCACCTTCCACATAATCCTTAAAGTCTTCACCTGCTATTACTCTCTCATCATCTGTATAAATCATTTTAGGCTTCTTACCCATTTTCCCTAATGCCTCTTTAGTTGCTTCAAGCACATCCTCTCCATTTTTAGTTTTGATTGGAACAACAACGGCATGCTTGCTCAAAACATCAATACACACTAACCCTCCTCTGAATTTTTGTTCTTTCTCAAAATCATAATATCCCATAAAGAACAAATCTATTTGATAAGTATGATTATTTTTTGGTGTTACAAAGGAATTCATCCCTCTGGGCTTTGCTTTGACTTCTACATTCTTTCTAAAGAATTGTTCAACATCCTCTTTCTTGATTGTAGGTTCTTTCTTTTTAGCATCTTCTAATGTGGTCTTTCTTGAACCATAGCCCGCTTTATCAAAATAAATATCACTAATAATCTTCTGTTTATCACTCATTATAGAATAGATGATATAATAAGTATATATTATATCATTTATTCTTGCTCTTGTTGCTTCAGCCAGTCTTGGTGCTTTTTTGTCTTGATGTGGTGCGACCTATTTTGAAGTTGAAAAGAACTACCACAATCACAATCAACTATTGACATCAACTTGTCTCTGTTTTTATGATAGTTGTTTCTTCCTCTTCATTGGCATTGTCTTTATTTTTGATATGCCATTCTTTGTTCCACTTGGCGCACTTTTCTTTGTTGTCTTTGTAATATTCTTGCGGTGTTCTTTCTGCCACTTCTTTATTGACACAAGCATTGTTTTTGATGTAATAGCCTTCTCTTTGTAATAGTTCAATCTTGGATTGGGTCGGGAACAGTTCTACCAGTTCTATTTTACAGTTTTCTACTCCGAATTCATCAAATAACTGACAAATTGAATGTTTATATGAACACTTGCCGTCTGAAAAGGTTTTATAGACACCTTTATGTCTCCAAAATCTTTTGCTCAATTCTTCACAAGTGCTTCCGTAGTAGCACTTTGTGTAAGCAACATCTGTAATTAAATATATTTTTCCTTTTTCATATTTCATACTTATTGTTCTCCATATATCCTAAACATACCATCTCTTTAAAATCATTTTACATTGATATTTTATTTGAAAAAGCGCAATTACATTGAACACACATTGGAATACAGTTGCTTTTATAATGTGCCAGTTCATTATTTAATCTTTGGCAACTAATATTTGATGAAACCTTGCCATCTTCAAAATCAATAACCAATGGTTCATTACAATTTTCACACTGGGTATTCATCATATCCATCAGGAAATCCACATCAACATACTCATCATCATCTATGGGTCTGTTGCTTTTCTTATCACAGACACTTATAATACCTGATTTCTATCACTTTCCACTGTTTTTTGGGGAGGTTTGGGGTAAATGCGACAGACAAAGACCCTGAAGTCCTGGAGCCATGGCCAGAAAACGGCGGGGCAGAGCATCCCTTGAGCCGCGTCACGGAGAGGGCACCCCATGGCTGATGACTTCTGGAAAACTTCACTGCCACATCACCAATGATATACCCTCTGGTAAACTAACATAACTATGGAAAATCACCATTTTCAATAGCTATGAGAAATTACCAGAGGGTAGCCAGATTCTTTGTTCTCAAGAAAAACCAAGGGACACAAAAAGAGGACTGCTATGTACTTAGAGGACTATATGATGTGTAATACCTTCACAAAATGCAGTGAAATCGGCACCGCAAATGTCTTGTGGCGATTCGTCGCCCCCATTTTCATCTAGGCATGTCTGGGGCGATCCCGCTGGCACCGGCGCACTAAATGGGAAGATACTGTTGATGGCTCCAAGGCTCCAAGTCCCTACCTGGATACTACAGACTTCCCAAATGGTACTACGGACATCACAAACAATGAAAAGTTGCAATCAAGCTAGGCAGGAGCATTGCATGGCATTGCCTTTCAGCTTGCAGCATAGCATGCATCACTCCGCGATGGACAGGACCCTGATGTCAAACCGCTTTCCCAACCTTCCAGACCCTGGGGGCTTCGAGACTTAGATCCATCAACAGTAGGTGGGAAGCGCTGGAACTCAGCCATCATCCTGGTGGCTCAGGATCGGCATGTCCTGGCGCTGGGAGAATCTTATACCAAGCCGGTACCTCTGTGATAATGCCATTGTATGTATATATATGTATATATATATATGTATATATATATATATATGTATATATATATACACATATTTATTGATCTATCTATTTATGTATTTATTATTATATACATATAATATATATATATATACTGTTTAATACTGGGTGCCTGAGAAACCCATACATCCACAAAGGCATGTAAAGTAGGATCAACGTAAAGTATCAAACCCAATTTATCCCAACCAATTTGCGAAGCTGTTTTCTTGCTCTTCCAACGAAGTTGCAACCGCCACGCTCGATCCGGTAACGTCCCGAACTCCGCATGGAAGGAAAGGACTGGAAACAAAGTCGCAGTCCACCAGTCCTGCGTCCGTATCATCTGTGGCCTCTGGGCCACACTTCCTCCGCAACGCGTCCAACAGAAGATCTGCCTCTTGCGGTGACGCCACAGTGCACCCGACCAGGGCCGAATCTGGAAACTTCCTCACCTGGAGGACGGTTCCATCATGCACGATGCGCCGCATGCTGGATTGGGAGGCAGGACAGGAGCCCCACTCAGGGGCATAAGCTCGGAGGCTGGCAGAATCACAAGCAGCCGCAAAGGAACCCCAGAGATCCAAGTCACAAACGTGACCACATGCCGCCACCTCCACAGCAAAGTTCTCACGGGCAGATTTGAGTGCGTCAATCAGGGCCGGCATGTCATAGCCCTTCGATCCCAACGGCGCCGATTTCTCCAGAAGCGGCACCTGGACGTCTTGGGCAAAGTGTGCAGCCCGTGCTTTAGCAGACTCCTCGTCAGGCGGAATGATGCAGGCAATCTCACACCGCCAGCTTCGCAACAAGCAGTAGACCTGGATACTATGATACCCACTTGTAAAAAGTATGGCCACAGGAGAATGTGATGCTCCTGGCACGGACATCACATAGTTGGCCTGGTGGTATCTGGAATCTTCCTGCAGCTTTCCAGCTTCATTGGACAAAATCTTCAGTGCGTTGTAGATCCGCGACCCGTACTGCGCCGCGCGTTTCCGCCGTTCCGAGATCCGTTTGGGCGCCTTCAAACTGCGGGCGACCTGACGCAGGGCGCCCTTGCCACCATCCGCAGCGCAGAGCTCGGGACTTTCCGAGGGCTCTCGGTGCGAAGAGGAGCTGGGAAGGTTCAGAGCAATGGAGAGGAGCTCGGAATCAAGAAATGGATATCCTTAGATCCAGCGATTCAGCTCGCACATTGCTCTGGGCTGAATATCCCAGCTGAATCTGCAAACACCCAAACATAGTCTTTTAAAGGTTTTTTATACGAAACAACAAGCAGGTATACCCCATAGCAAAGTAAAAGTTTCCCTATGAAAAAAAACGTTCACTGTGCAAAAAAGGATGAGTCACCACATCTGTCCATATCCTCTCAAATCACAGAAGTCTTGATCTAATAATTATTAGTTCGAAAGTCACCCGTAGAATCCGACCAAAAAAAACAATGACACAGACGCTCAGAAAAACTGTCCCCATCCCATCCACACTTTAAAAATCGTCCCAACTTCCGCCAAAACAACTATGTCAACCTTCCTTGGACAGGAAGAATCCTTGCATTGGTTTAAGGGAAAAATTACAGGAACCCATCAGTTTGATTTTCTGTCGAAAATCCCAACAATTCTGGGAAAACCAAGTCAACTCAAGCCACTAATCACATGGTTTTTACCTCCAAAGAATCTGGTGATTTTCTGTATATGTATGTATGTGTATATATATATATTACATTATATTATATCATATCATATTATATTATACTCTAATATATTATACACCGTATAGCCCTTGAAAGTGGCAGCTAGGTCACTAATCTCCACCTTGGCCAATGCCGCCACCGCAAAGTCCCGTTGCAGATCCCGGTGCCACATCTGCGCCAGGCCCAGCGTGCGATCGCGGCTGGTGGCCTCGTCCCTAGCATCACAGGCACGCGCGTGGCGCTGGTACCCCGCGAAGGCCTCCTCGGATCCTCTCAACCAGGTGGGATGGACATAAAGAACCGTCAAAACAAAAGGAACTAGTGATATGGGTATGTCTGAAAATGGGGTATACCCCCAATTATAGCCATTTAGTAGGGATAATGATCATTAACCATTGGGTTTAGGGGTACACTATTTTCAGACACATCCAAAAGGAACTAGTGATATTCACTGAAGATGATGAGTATGTAACCTATAGTTTTGTGATGTCTGTCACGGAATAATGGGATTTGAAGCCACAAAAATTCTTGGTACTAACCTACAAACACGGTAATCAACCGGTATTGTAGCCGGCACTCATGGGGATGAAACCTATCAACATCGGGTGTAAGTGGAACTGACAATCGTCACTAAGTTTTAAAAAAATGGGCATTGGGCGATTCAAGATCAAAAAAAACATAATATATATATATATAGTAATATAATATATATATATAGTCATTAGATGTCATTAGTAATTAGCAAATGATGGTGGCTATATGTCCGAAACCCATCCAAAATGGTTCGTTAATTTTACTTGACCAAACAAATGAGTTGGATGAAAAGCAAAAAAGCGGGATGACTAGACTCTGGGTGGCTTGGAGTCTAATCCGGCAAAATGGATACAAATCGGGCGTCGGGTAGGTACCACATGTCCTTGTAGAACAGGTACCGTACTTTTTGGGATGGACAGCTTTGCACCAGCAATGCCAAATAATTTGAACGTCAATGAGTTGCAATGCCCTGCAGTCCTAGGCCACTGAGAACCACTCGAACGCCATCCCTTGCAGCCATTTGGCAGGCAGCGAGCATAGTCATGCCGACGGAAGCTTTGACGCTGTTCAAATCTGCTATTACCGGAGCACATTGCAGAAGAAGCGCTTCTGCCTGCATCAGGATATCTTTGGGTGTGGGATATGCAGGGATGCTAACTTACAGCCGAAGTGAACTGCGTAAGGAAGTCACCAGCCGCCAGCCTCCTTCAAATCCACTACATGAGCCTCCCAGGGCATGGCCATTTCAGTCGCAGCTGCTTCTGCCATGGATAGATCTTCCGGATACGCATACCTGGATCACGTGATCTCATTGAAGCTGCTGGAGAAATCCCCAAAACTTGCCCTATCTGAGCCAGGAAAAGACGCAAGAATCAGTTGAATCATCTTTTGCTTCGGGGTTGCATCCACAACCAGTTTATTACTTGCATCCACAACCAGTTTACCACATCCAGTGATGCCGGCTACAATGGCGGGTCGCCAAACCCTCGAGAGCACAACAACCCAACCGAAAATGAAAAAAGATGTTTCAAAAGTCTTAAGTTCAGTTGCTTGTTTTTGATCTTCTTATCCTCCATGTGAAATCCCACCGTGTAGCACGAGCATCTGCATGGGGCAAGTTCTTCCGTAAAGAGCCATGCAAGAAGCCCAGAGTCTAAACCACCACTGAACAAAAGTCCCACATGTTCCTCCCCCGCGACACATCGTCGCACTGCTTGGATCAGAGCTTCGCGCAGTTGAAGGGTCATCTCCTGACTCCGATGCCCAACGGAAGGCGGTCCCAGAACGGTTCTTGAAGTGCCCAAATATCTGGCGTTCCAAATGAAAGATAATGAAAGATAATGAAAGATAATGAAAGATAATGAAAGGATGATTGACTATAGACCCTGCTTTTGGTAGGAACTCATCCATTTTTGAGCCAAACCCGCCTCTTCCCCTCTCTTGGCTTCAGCCATCTCCAGCTCCAGCTTTCTCCCGTGTAGCCCAAAAAAGTGATCAGGCATGGAAGCCTCTAACCCACCACTAGCAGACCATTGGTGCATCAACCTGGGAGATGCCTGGCGCCAACCGATGGCCAGGTGCAGGTTGCAACTCAGGTTGCTCAGTGGTACCTGTTCTGATGGCCAGTAGGGAGACAGCAAGATGAATCCCTCCCCCAGGGCGAGCCACATAGGCACCACCCCCACCGTGTCTGACACCGCGAAGACGCAGAGATCTCCCTGTGCAACGCACACATAGGCGGCCCAGAAGGAGCCGCTGCATCTGGAGAAATCCGCCGACCCCTGCCGACAGCAGGGGGAGCGCGTCAGAGAAGAGATTACAAGCAACAAGTGTTGTGCAGTGCAAGTGAGGGGCAAGCGAGGGGGGGACAGAAAGGGAAGCCAGGTGCAGAGTAAGAAGCCCAAAAAAGGAAGCGAGAAAGGAGGGGCAGTCTCAGCAAACGTAGCAAGCGAAAGAAGCACGAAACAAGAAGTTAGAAGCAAGAATGCAGAAGCAAGAGTAAACGAGCGACAGAAAGTAATGTTTGGCACTCTGGGCTACGGGCCGCGGGCCCAATCCGTCCTTCACTGCCATGGTGTTTTAGCCCTGCGAGGAGGTCCCTTGACCTGAGCTGTGCCGCACGAAAGCCAGCTGTCAGACAATGCAGGCAAGTTGGCAGTTGGCAGTGCAGGAACGCAGGGAAAAGCTAGGTTTGAGCTGCAAGACGAGTGGCAGGGAAAAGCAAGGTTTGAAGCTAGTTTCTAGGCAGTTCAGAAAGCAACGTTAGGCACCGTGGGCTGCCGGCTGCGGGCCCGATCCGTCCTTCAGTGCCATGGTGTTTGGGCCCTGCGGAGGGGTCCTTTGACCGGACCTGTGCAGGACGCACGCCGGCTGCAAGAAGACACGGGCAAGCAGTCCAGAAGGCAACGTTTGGCACCGTGGGCTGCCGGCTGCGGGCCCGATCCGTCCTTCAGTGCCATGGTGTTTGGGCCCTGCGGAGGGGTCCTTGGACTCGAGCTGACGGCAAGACACAGCAAGGTTTGAAGCTAGTTTCGACTTGACCGGAGCTGTGCCGCACGAAAGCCAGCTGTCAGACAATGCAGGCAAGTTGGCAGTTGGCAGTGCAGGAACGCACGGAAAAGCAAAGTTTGAAGCTAGTTTCTAGGCACTGCAGAAAGCAACGTTTGGCAGTATGGGCTGCCGGCCGCGGGCCCGATCCGTCCTTCACTGCCATGGTGTTTGAGGCCTGCGACAGGGTCCTTGGACCCGAGCTGACGCCAGGAAACAGCAAGGTTTGAGCCGGCAGACCTGGTCCGTCCCTCAGGGCCCTGCTGTTTGGCTGTGGCGCAGGCGCCGTTTTGGGTCAGACAGCAAGGTTTTCTTGTAGGTTCAGAAAGCAACGTTAGGCACTCACGGCTGTGGCCCGCAGGCCCGATCCGTCCTTCACTGCCATGGTGTTTGAGGCCCGCGACAGGGTCCTTGGACTCGAGCTGACGGCAGGAAACAGCAAGGTTTGAAGCTAGTTTCTAGGCAGTTCAGAAAGCAACGTTAGGCACTCACGGCCGTGGCCCGCAGGCCCGATCCGTCCTTCACTGCCATGGTGTTTGAAGCCTGCGACAGGGTCCTTGGACTCGAGCTGACGGCAGGAAACAGCAAAGTTTGAAGCTAGTTTCTAGGCAGTTCAGAAAGCAACGTTAGGCACTCACGGCCGTGGCCCGCAGGCCCGATCCGTCCTTCACTGCCATGGTGTTTGAGGCCTGCGACAAGGTCCTTGGACTCAAGCCGACGGCAGGAAACAGCAAGGTTTGAAGCTAGTTTCTAGGCAGTTCAGAAAGCAACGTTTGGCAGTATGGGCTGCCGGCCGCGGGCCCGATCCGTTTGCCCTCACTGCCCATTTGGTTGTTGAGGCCTGCGACAGGGACGTTTAGGCACTCACGGCTGTGGCCCGCAGGCCCGATCCGTCCTTCACTGCCATGGTGTTTGAGGCCCGCGACAGGGTCCTTGGACTCGAGCTGACGGCAGGAAACAGCAAGGTTTGAAGCTAGTTTCTAGGCAGTTCAGAAAGCAACGTTAGGCACTCACGGCCGTGGCCCGCAGGCCCGATCCGTCCTTCACTGCCATGGTGTTTGAAGCCTGCGACAGGGTCCTTGGACTCGAGCTGACGGCAGGAAACAGCAAAGTTTGAAGCTAGTTTCTAGGCAGTTCAGAAAGCAACGTTAGGCACTCACGGCCGTGGCCCGCAGGCCCGATCCGTCCTTCACTGCCATGGTGTTTGAGGCCTGCGACAAGGTCCTTGGACTCAAGCCGACGGCAGGAAACAGCAAGGTTTGAAGCTAGTTTCTAGGCAGTTCAGAAAGCAACGTTTGGCACTCACGGCTGTGGCCCGCAGGCCCGATCCGTCCTTCACTGCCATGGTGTTTGAGGCCCGCGACAGGGTCCTTGGACTCGAGCTGACGGCAGGAAAACAGCAAGGTTTGAAAGCTAGGTTCTAGGCGTTCAGAAAGCAACGTTAGGCACTCACCTGCCGCTGGCCCGCAGGCCCGATCCGTCCCTTCACTGCCATTGGTGTTTGCGGCTGCACAGGGCCTTGGACTCAGAAGCTGACGGCCAGGAAAAAACAGAAGGTTTGAAGCGAGTTGCTAGGCAGTTCAGAAAGCAACGTTAGGCACTCACGGCCGTGGCCCGCAGGCCCGGTCCGTCCTTCACTGCCATGGTGTTTGAGGCCTGCGACAGGGTCCTTGGACTCGAGCTGACGGCAGGAAACAGCAAAGTTTGAAGCTAGTTTCTAGGCAGTTCAGAAAGCAACGTTAGGCACTCACGGTCGTGGCCCGCAGGCCCGATCCGTCCTTCACTGCCATGGTGTTTGAGGCCTGCGACAGGGTCCTTGGACTCGATCTGACGGCAGGAAACAGCAAGGTTTGAAGCTAGTTTCTAGGCAGTTCAGAAAGCAACGTTAGGCACTCACGGCCGTGGCCCGCAGGCCCGATCCGTCCTTCACTGCCATGGTGTTTGAGGCCTGCGACAGGGTCCTTGGACTCGAGCTGACGGCAGGAAACAGCAAAGTTTGAAGCCAGAAAGCAACGTTAGGCACTCACGGCCGTGGCCCGCAGGCCCGATCCGTCCTTCACTGCCATGGTGTTTGAGGCCTGCGACAGGGTCCTTGGACTCGAGCTGACGGCAGGAAACAGCAAAGTTTGAAGCTAGTTTCTAGGCAGTTCAGAAAGCAACGTTAGGCACTCACGGCCGTGGCCCGCAGGCCCGATCCGTCCTTCACTGCCATGGTGTTTGAGGCCTGCGACAGGGTCCTTGGACTCGAGCTGACGGCAGGAAACAGCAAGGTTTGAAGCTAGTTTCTAGGCAGTTCAGAAAGCAACGTTTGGCATCTCACGGCCGTGGCCCGCAGGCCCGATCCGTCCTTCACTGCCATGGTGTTTGAGGCCTGCGACAGGGTCCTTGGACTCGAGCTGACGGCAGGAAACAGCAAAGTTTGAAGCTAGTTTCTAGGCAGTTCAGAAAGCAACGTTAGGCACTCACGGCCGTGGCCCGCAGGCCCGATCCGTCCTTCACTGCCATGGTGTTTGAGGCCTGCGACAGGGTCCTTGGACTCGAGCTGACGGCAGGAAACCAGCAAGGTTTGAAGCTAGTTTCTAGGCAGTTCAGAAAGCAACGTTAGGCACTCACGGCCGTGGCCCGCAGGCCCGATCCGTCCTTCACTGCCATGGTGTTTGAGGCCTGCGACAGGGTCCTTGGACTCGAGCTGACGGCAGGAAACAGCAAGGTTTGAAGCTAGTTTCTAGGCAGTTCAGAAAGCAACGTTAGGCACTCACGGCCGTGGCCCGCAGGCCCGATCCGTCCTTCACTGCCATGGTGTTTGAGGCCTGCGACAGGGTCCTTGGACTCGAGCTGACGGCAGGAAACAGCAAAGTTTTTTGAAGCTAGTTTCTAGGCAGTTCAGAAAGCAACGTTAGGCACTCACGGCCGTGGCCCGCAGGCACGATACGTCCTTCACTGCCATGGTGTTTGAGGCCTGCGACAGGGTCCTTGGACTCGAGCTGACGGCAGGAAACAGACGCCTGCGACAGGGTCCTTGGACTCGAGCTGACGGCAGGAAACAGCAAGGTTTGAAGCTATAGTTTCTAGGCAGTTCAGAAAGCATTGCTTGGCAGTATGGGCTGCCGGCCGCGGGCCCGATCCGTCCTTCACTGCCATGGTGTTTGAGGCCTGCGACAGGGTCCTTGGACTCGAGCTGACGGCAGGAAACAGCAAGGTTTGAAGCTATAGTTTCTAGGCAGTTCAGAAAGCAACGTTTGGCTGTATGGGCTGCCGGCCGCGGGCCCGATCCGTCCTTCACTGCCATGGTGTTTGAGGCCTGCAACAGGGTCCTTGGACTCGAGCTGACAGCAAGACACAGCAAGGTTTGAAGCTATAGTTTCTAGGCAGTTCAGAAAGCAACGTTTGGCAGTATGGGCTGCCGGCCGCGGGCCCGATCCGTCCTTCACTGCCATATGGTGTTTGAGGCCTGCGACAGGGTCCTTGGACCCGAGCTGACGCCAGGAAACAGCAAAGTTTGAAGCTAGTTTCTAGGCAGTTCAGAAAGCAACGTTTGGCAGTATGGGCTGCCGGCCGCGGGCCCGATCCGTCCTTCACTGCCATGGTGTTTGAGGCCTGCGACAGGGTCCTTGGACCCGAGCTGACGCCAGGAAACAACAAGGTTTGAAGCTAGTTTCTAGGCAGTTCAGAAAGCAACGTTTGGCAGTATGGGCTGCCGGCCGCGGGCCCGATCCGTCCTTCACTGCCATGGTGTTTGAGGCCTGCGACAGGGTCCTTGGACTCGAGCTGATGGCAGGAAAAAGCAAGGTTTGAAGCTAGTTTCTAGGCAGTTCAGAAAGCAACGTTTGGCAGTATGGGCTGCCGGCCGCGGGCCCGATCCGTCCTTCACTGCCATGGTGTTTGCGGCCTGCGACACGGTCCTTGCGGCCTGGGTCCGTGGACCCGAGCTGTGCAGCACGAAACCCAGCTGCAAGACGAAGAGGTCGCAAGCAATTTGGAAGCTGGCAGGGCAGTGCAGAACGGCAGGCAAAGTCGAGGTTTGCAGCTACTTTCGCGTCACTTCAGGAAGTGACGTTTGTCACTGTGGACCGCTGGCTTAAGAAGACAAAAGCGAGCGTCACAAGGATGCAAGCACGTTGGAAGCTAGCCGTGCTATTCGTGCAGTGGTGCCCTCACGTACCACCTTTCCCGCCGGCATGTGCGTCCGGCATTGTTTGTGTGCTTTTTTTTGATTTGGCCATCAACCTTTTCTGAGTAAATGATTGTTCCGCAGGTTGGGCAGGGAACCAAAAGCTGCAAAAGCATGGCACCAGACAGCCTTGATTCTGCAACCAAGCAAGATTGAACCACTGATACAATTATGTTTCTACTCTGGCTTTGTCATGTCAGCCCCTTAGCAGAATTGCA